ATACCAGCCACAGAGACTGGCGAAACGTTAGGAAGAACAACCTTCAGAACACGGCCAAAGAGCCCGAAAAACCCACAACAACCAATATATTGTGTTTATTTGGGCCACCTTGTTTAGGCCAATATTACTATGTTTTTAGGATTTTTCGATAGATAGATAGATAGATAGATAGATAGATAGATAGATAGATAGATAGATAGATAGATAGATAGATCGATCGATCGATCGATCGATCGATCGATTACTCCACTCCTTTTGGTTGCTTTTATTTTTTTATCTTATTATACTTTTTGTATTCTTTTTAATTTTTAAAAATTTGATTTGCTATTCAGAATGTTATTGATAAAACATTGATGTGTTATGTAGAAGCTAGCATTTTCTTAATAGCCTAGGAAGAATATCAGTTCAGGAAGACTACTTGCCTTTTAAAAAAAATGATTGAAAGGCATTATAACAGCTGTAAGTTAGGTAGCACCACCCCACCCATCGTGGTAGAGTCATATTTGAAATTTTTTTAAAAAAATTCCTCTAACCCAACAAGGTTGGCCATTTAAGCACTTTTTTCCTTTGAAGAGGAAACAGTTCTGATTTGGGGGGAAAATGTGAGAGTATTATAATTTTAACCGAAACAAAGCAGCAGAGTAGGCATAAGCAGTCTTAATCTATCCTATGTAGCTAATTTTGTTTTAATCATTTTTTTACTATCCGAGTGTAATTTCTGTACACTAATTGCCTAAAAGATCTAAGTATTTCTATACCTAGGTATTTGCAACTTGAACATTTGAGAATTAAAATTGATTCTTTCAGATCTTTGGGTTTTAAACTTGATTAATGTGGATTTGGTATAATTTATTTATTTAAATATTAGTGCAAATATAAATAAGTAAATAAATAAAATAACAATTTAAATTGCAGGCAATGACTCAATGGGATTCAAGGTAAATAACAAAATATCATTGGAAAATTAATTTTCATTAATGCTTTCTATCCCTCTGTAGTTTCTGACTGTGGTTACAATGGCAGTGTTCTTTAATAATAACAATAATAATTCCTGCTCATCCTATTTTATTTATATAGGCATTGTAGAAAGCATCAGTTTTTAATTTAAGGGTAAGTATAATCATCAAGTGAAAGGTGAATATTAGTTGCTACAGTTTGAGTACCAAGTGAACATGAGAGATGTAGGTACTCTAAGAATCAAACAAGAGACTTATAACCATACCTCCTCTAGCTATACACTTTCATTGCTTGGGAAAACAAGATTGATTAGTAAGCTAGAAGTAATAGATAAGAAATCCTCTTGGGTAGCATTTATTCATTGTCAAATTTATCTTAAATGAGATATAAGCATTACAGTGAGTTGCAGAAACTTCAAAAATGTCGACATTTAGTGTTACTATCCAAGATTTTAGAAGACTAAGAGTATTGTGGGTTTTGTTTTTCTGAAGTGGAATAGCAAATGTTTAATCAGGAAATTATGAAGGTGAGGACACATGGATATTTACTGAAATAATTTCTCCTTCTTTTAAGACACAAGCAGCACAAAATGAAGTACAGGAGAGTGACACAGAACAGTGGGCAGATGCGCATGAATGTATATTTTAATAAAAATAATTCTGTCAAAATACAACAGAATCTGAATTTCTTTACCATATTCTCAGTACAATTGTTTCCGATATTAATTTTTCTTCGGTTAAAATTTCCTTCTCTTGGAAGATTTCATGCGTTTGAGAATTCACAGCTATTAAGCAGATTGTACCACTGTGCACAGCTTGGCACAATGTCCATCAAATCATTATCCTCAGTGAGGAAGACATTCCAAGTGATGACTAAAACCTTGTCGAGCTGAGATTCTGCTCAGCCTACCTTGTGGTTGAAATATTTATTTTTGTACAGTCCATAATACTATTACAAAGAAATAAAGGAAACAAAAGTGTCCTGATATTCCATGCTAGAGCTAGTACCTGAGTTCGGAACAGAAAAAAATTTGGGTTGTGGAGAAATAACTAAAATTTGTACTTGAGGTTTTCCAGCCTTTGCTTGAGTTCCTAGACTGCAAATCCACCCCATGCACTGTTGTTCACCCAAAGCTGAACACACAAACACCCCAAAACTGAATCAAAACATTTTTTTACTCAGCTTAAATTTGAACCTGAAATACTTCCATACTGTAAATCTCAGTATGTACTTTTCAGTGCACTTCAGAGTACCGCTCGCACACATGCAAAAGCAAATTGGTGATATTGGAGTCCTAGCCAGCAACTGCTTTTGCTGAATGTTGGCTGTGAAACAAAATGAGGTGGAGAAAGTCCCAGTATGTACTTGATCAATGATATGTCAGCAAATCCCACTATCATACTTATTCCTCCCTCCAGATTATTTTTTAAACATAAGGTTGGCAACTAGCACCTAGGTGGCCAGTTGGGCCCCCAATCTCTCAAATCCTAATTTGGAATGAAGTCCTGATGGAGCGAATGACAATACCCAAGGAAGACAAATGAAAACTAAGATGCCTGGTGAAGAAATTGATAGCTTAAGTATGCTTCCATCTGTGCTTAAGAGATTAGTTATCAGATCAGATTTTGTAAAACAAGTCAGGTTGGTCATCTACAACTGGATCACTCCGATTTTGTGCAAAAGGAGCTGGTTTGGGAGAGTGCAAAAATATCAAGCTATACAACTGCTAAAATTACAGAATTGATGAAGATGATTTTCTCAACTAAGCCTTAAAAGGACTTGCACCTCTCTCTCTATAGAACCATCTGTTTGTAAATGAGTTCAGGACCAAGCACATTTATTTGTGGTAATTCTGGTTTGTATGATGTTAATGGAACTTCTTTGGAAGGTGGTAGAGATGTGCTAGCTGAGTTTTGATGTGGAAGTATTCTTTGGTGTAGAATTTCAAAACAGACTGTTACTGACACACAGACCATACCATAAACAGATTAGACAGCAGACAAACAGACAAATACTTTTGGAGCCTGAGTTTGCTGAGATCTCCTGATGCAAATTCTACAGATACCTTATCAAGGGAATTTCTGGCAGTTCCATCTATATGACAAATACTGATGAAGGGGAGGAAATTGTGAACAATTAGTTTTATATCCACACCCAGGACAGAAATATTACCTATTATTCTTGATCATCATTACTGTGAGAATCTGGGTTAATACAAATTGCACCCAAATGAGATTTCATATATGTGGGCAAGAGTGAAAAAGAATTTGCGGTTACCTCATGTCAAGAGAGAAACATAAATCTGGGATGATTTTGTTTCACAAGATTGGGCTAAATCATTTTTTCATGGTACACATATTTATATTGAAATAAAAGGGGGGGGAGCTGTGTTGCCATTACAAAATAAATTTATATCACAGTCTGTTCCTTCAAGAGCAAGAGCCGTACTAGGGTAGCACTTCAGATATGAGTGAAATGCAACTCCATTAGTCCTGCCAAGTGTGGCCAAATATAAGGGATGGTGGGAAAACAGCCCATCAACATCTGAACAACAATATGTTCCCAATCCCAATCCTTGCAGAAACAGTCATTTTAGAAGATAGAACTTCAAAAATGTTCAGTGTGAACACTAGTTGTATCAAAGTAACAAAACTCTTGCATCATGAGACAGCTTGAATGGCAATGAAATCCCCCTGAACTGTAACAAAGAGAATGTGCAATGGCTCCAGGACTGCAAGATCAAAACCCTGAATGAACAACAAAAGCAAGCTGATTGTCTAGATAAAAACACGCGACAGCCCTTGTTCTTTGAAGGGGGAAATGTAACCTTTGCAACATTAATACAGGCTACAATAACGTTTCTTGAACCCAAAAATATTCTCAATGAATATAAAAAAACATAAGACTGAGGAATGACCATAAAGACAAAGAATGACAAAGGAACCACAGGCCAGAGAAAGGAGAAACACACAATCTTCTTAACATTGTAAACAAAAACCATACAGAAAATGTAGGAAAAACGGGGGGGGGGG